CAGGTCCCCAGTGTGTTCAAATATTATAATTATCCGCAGGTTAGTGACTTGCTCAAGGCCATGCAGCAAAGCAGAGGATGAACTGGGATCAGGAATGTCTGCCTTCTAGTCCCATGCTTAATCCACTACAGTGTGTTGCTCCAGAGTGAAGCTTGAGTCATTAGTGGTTAGATATGTGAAATGCATTTTATTGATAGGGAGGCAGGCATTGTGTAATTGGTTGAAGAGCATGACACCGAAGAGTGAATTATAAATAACATTATGCATTACTGCTACCCGGTTAGCAGTTTGTACACTCATTTGGCAGCTGTTTCCCCAGTGATTCATTATTCAGCTTTTTCTGTTTTTTCTTTCTAAATCAGCACAGAAAGCAGCAGCAGAGCTGTGTACATTAAGGAATTCAGAGCTGTAGCAAATACTCGTCAGCACGGATTAGATAGCAGAACACTGCCAGAAAAAGCCACAATAAAACTACCTCAGTGAACTGCTACCTTGGCTTACTGATAAGAAAAAGAAAGAGCATTGTCCTCTGCTGTCACTTAAGCCAAAATTACTTCTTTTTTCATTATCTAGATCAGATAAGTTTTTATCTTTCTTTTTCTATAAGGCAGTTCCTGTGATTTTGTGGCAGACAAACATGCAGCACAATTAAATCTTAATAGCAGTGCTTATGCTGATTTATGGAAAAATGTTTCCTGAGTGTTTAGATCAATGCATGCAAAAACACAAAAAAAGTTGTGTAGGTCACAGGTATGTAAACTGCATGCAAAAGAGGGCACTGTTAAGAGGGGAACACTGTGTAGCAGGGCATACTTGAGTGAGCATGTGAATACGGGGATTAAAAAAAAAAAAAAACCCAACACATTTTCTCCTGCCACTTTCCTTTTTCCTGCGCAATGGGAAAAGATTGTGCTAGGTTTTCCCCTTTATTAGTTCAAACCTCTTTCACTAGTAGTTACTCTACCGCAACCTCGTTTCTCACAGCCAGTTCTTTTTAGGCTGGGGATAAGTAAGAGTGAAAGGAAGTTCCTGGCTGATGGATATGGAAGAGTTTTTTGTTCTAAGCCTGTGTGCCAAGGAGGTGTTGTTCTCCGTGTGTATGTGACTGAGGGAGGACGTGAGTGTTACTATTTTGGAATCATCAAGGAAAGGATAATTGGAGCTTAAAGCCACCACATGTATGAAGTTACTCTAGCCAAAATGAAAAGAGCGGAAGGCTGAAACAAGGAGTAAAGCAACACAATGGCTGAGATAATAGCCTCTAATCCTGAGATGTGTCAGAATAAGGATGGTCACAGGTTTCAGAGTCAAGCCAAGCACCTTCATCATTATAGCTCTGACATTATATAGCTGTATATAGCATATACAAAAAATGTGTCAAGAATGAAGTTTTGGGTCATTTTTTTATTTATTTACCCTTCTGGGATATACTGAGTTGCCATAGGATACATCGGTGCAAGGAACTGAGGCAAGCAGAAGATAAGGAAGAAACCAGGGTGGATCAAAGGAGGCAACAATGACCAAACCACTCTCATTAAGCTCGGGCAGTGTGGAGCAGGCTGGCAGGTCCTACGGTCAGAGGCTGCCCTAAAAAGTTCTCATCCTAAGGCCCACCTACAGTATCTGCTGCTAAGAGAAATTTCCAGCATTGCAAACAGAGCCTGAAAAACGAAATAACCTGGAAATTAACAGAACCTGACAGCAGGCATGAAAAGAAATATTTGCATTTACGTACTCATAAGTACTGCATTAAAAGTCAGCAGGAGTCTCAATTTTGTCGAACTATCTCTCTCAATTATTTACATTAAAAATACAATATTTAGTATAGGGCTGGGATACTGCATGATAAATCAGGGACACACAAAGCTGTCAGACAAACAGATTGTTTCACATAGAAGCCACCATGGGGTTTCTCTTAAGAACTGATGGCCATTGCTGTCTCTGTGATCAGTTGCTTATCACAGCCAAAGAGTCAAACCATTTATGAATAAATTCACAGGAGGAACTGGAATAATGACCAAAATCTTAGTCATAAAAATTTAAAAACAGAGTAATAGAATAATGTTGTATAATAAATTATTTGCTAAAAATTATTTACTCAGCTGAACAGGTTGATTCCCTTTGCACTCAATATTTCTTTCTGAACTACTTGCTGTCTGTATCACCGTATAATTTCTGAGCTTCTTAGCCATTACTAAGGCATAGTCAAAACAAAATGCGTTTTTCCTCTTGCTTGAGAGGAACTACCAAGTACATGCGGTTCTGTAACAGGTACATCCTTATGAATATACTTCATGGCATAGAGGTACTGCTATCCCCATATACTCACAACACGTATGAAATACTGCAGGTACCCAGAACCAAGACAAACCATAACAGCACAGGCACTTGAGACGAGGTGCAGATTGCCTGCTTGGGGGGGGTCTGGTGGGGGCCTTGTGAGGTTATAAAATAGGTGGTTGGCTCCAGCAGTGTTCCAGAGACGTACGCAAATTATCAACACTCCCACAGTGTAGTCAGCACAGAGTTAAGTGCTGTGAAGTTCAACAGGCAGAGCAACCATCTTCCTGGAGCTGGCTCCCCTTACCTGCTAGATGCTTGGCTATAAGTCATCTCTGCTGTCTTTGGAGCTTCTGACCTCTAGTTATTAATTAAAATATAGTTTGGACAAAAACAAACAAACAAACAAACAGCTTATGTTTCCAACTTCACGTTGTGGAAAATAAGATATCAAATACTTTGTTCCAAGCTTACCTATTTCTACCCATTTTAAAACCCAGAGTGCACTGTCCTCTTCCTACAGGCCTTCACGCTGTTTAAAAATGTGACAGCCAGTGGCAGCAGTGGTGCAGCTACCCACACCTGGCATAAAAACCTAGTGGTTAGAGCGCCGACTCAGGAAGCCAGATACCTACATTTGCCAATTCTGGAACACAAGGCTAGGATGTAAAAGATATCCAAGAGTGGTCCTACAACATCCTTTTCCTCTTCTTTTTCCTCCTACACTTGTATTTTGGGTTGGGAGGTGACTATTGCAGATCCCTTTTAAGCTGAATCTGTGTTGTCAGATGTGTTTTAGCCATTTTCATAGCACAGATAAGGTTCAAACCACAGAGGCAAGGGTTGGGCGTTTCTACCCACGGTTTCTGGATCAGAGGAGAGGCTGGGTGGGAAGCCACAGCTATTTGGCTTTCAGGTCAAAAGAGGGGAACGTAGCAAGTTTTAGGGGCCTGTGAGGTTGGTTGGAGGGTGTCTGTGTGTCTTTTGCTTCAGTGCCTGGATACTGTAGGTTCTAACCAGAGTTTTAGTTGTCTGCTAAATTTCACACTGACAAAAAATCAGCATGCAAATACTTACCATCCTCACCAACTGTATTTTTGCCTGCCCTATTGCTTAGTTGTTAAAAAGGGACCTTTATGAAAGGAAGTGTAAAAAATTAAGTTGTGAATTCTGGATCATATAGTGCTGTTTGTGTCAGCTTTAGGGATAAATATTTTTTCCAATAAGACACAGAGTTGATTATAAATTAATTGACATGGGAGAGAATGGTCAATGTTATGGTTTCCAGTTGCCATTTTTCCAGTGCATATTGATTTCAGTTGAGGGCTAATGGGGTAGGGGAGATTTTGTCCCCGTGGCCTTTTTGATTAGGTACTGACGCAGCTGTGAAATAAAATCTGTACCTAGTGATACCGTGGGACAGGTACCTGAGATAGGTTTCTGAAGAAGGAAGAGACTCTACATAGAGAATAGTAGAGTGGAAAAAACAAGCTGTGATAGAGCTAGTAACTTAGACTTTGAAAATTCTTTACATGATTTTGTCATCTTGATAGCAGATTTCTATCATTATCAGAAATTTGACATTTAACAAATGGTAGAATCAAGCAAACAGTAAAGAAGACCAATATTTACTGTACACCTGAAGCAAAGAAATGTGAGAGGTTCGAAAGATGCAGTGCAAAAACTTGGGTGAAAATAGATTATTTGTAGGTTTCCAAGGACCAATGGAAAATGCAATTACATAAATCAGGAGAAGTTGCTTTGAAAATTTCCTTTTCACTTTCAACAATTACTCTGCCAACCTGGCCATTTTAGTTGAGCATTACAAAGGATCCAAAATGTTTCCAGTGCAAATGCGTTGAACGCCTAGTGTGCTAGAGCATGTTTTTTATTCATGTTGTTGTTCTAATATTTTTGCTAGTTTCTTGGGCGTTGGCCTCAGACTAATTTCATGGTATGTTTGAGGTCTAAACCACAGAGAGAACGACTGAAGGGGGACTTGGCTTGTACAGGTTTTTCTTTTTAATTTTTTTTTCCTACTGTGGTGGAACTGTTTCCAGCAGCCAGATGCATGATGGTTCTTGTTTGAACACATGCAGTAGATCCAAATTCGTCAGAGAAAAGGAGCATTCAACATAGTCCAAATCCCATCATAGGAGTTTATATAGCTATGACATCATATATTTGTGTTGTTCAGTATTCCAAATGATATTCTAGAAGATTATCTATTTTCCTTGGAGTCTCAGTTTTAAGTAAAAAGCATTGAAGGCTAGGTTTTCCAGTGATGTCTTGGGAATAATATTGCTTAAGCAGCAGAATTCTGGGAGCGGGCATTTGCTCCAGCCTCTGTTTCCTCTTCATGCAATGTCTGCCTGCTCTAGATTAATGTTTTCCTCTTGGTCACTGATTATTTTTTTAATAAGAAAATATGGTCCACCGTGATCCAGAATTACCACTATGTGACACCTGGGCCCCTAAGCTTTGACTCTGCTCCCACACAGATTAGTGGCAGAGCTTCTAATGACTTGCTTAGCATTAGTTGGGACCTCCACAGGGCACTTTCGGTTTCAGGAGTTTTAAGCAAATGGAAAAATTCTAAAGTCCCTTCCATACTGAGGCTATGTGCTTACTTTGCAGTAAGTGTTCCTCAAGCTTGTCTGAGTCCCCTGCAATTATTTGGGGTAACTTAAAATTCCTAATTGTCTGTGTTCAATTTCCAGAGAGAGCATGTGGGGCTGTGCCAGGTCAGCTGTTAACCCTTTTCGTTTTTTCAACTCCAGGTATGAAGCATTTTATTGTGTATTATATAATGTTCTGTTTTATTGACAAAATCTAGTAGCAGTGGTTTTCAGCTTTCTTTCCCTCTTTATGTGATGGCTGGGGGATATGTGGGGCTGGGCAAAGTTGATTTTTGCTATTGTTTTTTTATTTTGGGACTGGGATGGTGGTGGTGTGCGTCATGGGAAAGCTACGATTTTTTTTCCAAGTCCCAATGACTAAAGTAGGAGAATAGGAAAAAAAAAACCCTGTCTGATATTTGATAATGAAGTTTAAAATGTTAAAAATAGTCTGCTGAAATTGAGTAACAAAGTTAATGTGAATCAGCGTAGCTCATGTTATAGTGGGTCATCGCCATTTACCATGAAACAGTCGACAAGCAAAGTGTAAAATGTAGGAAGAGGTCTTTGCAAACATCTCCTTGCTTTTTTTTTTCAAGGCCAAATTTTTAAAACCTGACTGTATAATGTACCTAATAGATGCCCTGCTTTAGAGTGCAGAGTTTATATACAAATGCAGTGGCGGGGGTGACTGGGAGGTTTCAGTGAGCGTTGTGATGCCATAAGGTGCCTCGGGTTCACCTCACTTGCCCAAATAGAAATAATGTCATATAACAGAAGGGGTGTACCAATGGTGATAGGGTTCCTGATTTTGTTGGATTCATTGCTGTTGTTTTATTGGGTTTTAAAATAGCATGCAATGAAATGTCCACTCTCAGTGTGCTTGCTTGCTTGTTTGTCCTCCCCTATTCTTTTGTTTGTTTCATGGGCTCCTAAAAAGATTCCTTTGGAGTCATGTTCATTGTGTGACAAGTGTAAACCCATCAACTCAGTGCTTTTTCTACTCTTCGTAATCCATGGACCCTCTATCTGTGTAGTACAGAAGGAAAAACAACTTCACATGTTCAGTATAAGCAAATAAGTTGCAGAATAATTGTAATTCTTCACATTTTTAAGTAGAGCTAAGCTTCATAATAAAATTAAGAAGACGGCATGTTTAAGAGCAATTACACTTTCAAATTGCTAATGAGTAGTCAAGTACAGAAATCATTCCTCAAATCTACTATCTCCAATTTGCAGTTAATTGCATTACAACTGGTATATTTATATTAAAAATTTGCGGGATTTTATTACTCAAACATTTTCAAAGTAGCACCAGCAGCAACTTCTTTGTTAAAGCCAATACAAAGCTTTTAAGGTTTCCTTGGTGTGAAATTGGAGTGGTACATTTATTTTTTTTTAAATCCTTAGAATTTTCTTTGATCTGATTGAAATTATCAGTGCAACTTCAGAAATTATTCTGAAGATCCTATTAGTCTCCCAAAATGTTGCGTTTGTAAAATAAATTTGTGTTTCTGATACAATTTTGAATGCAGGCTCCTTTAGCCAAAGCTAGCAGTAATATTCTGTATAATCACCAGTTATATTAGCTTCTATTCTACAGGAAGCATTTTCAAGAAGGAGGCTTGTGTTGATAATTTTTTGCTCTTTTTAAAATGTTGTTAATATTTTGCTCAAAAAATTGCTGACGAATTTACATGTAGACTTTATGCATACCATAACAATGAATATGAGATTCTACTAATGAGGTCCCCCTGAACAACATGCATGGTTAGATGCAGATGAAGATAGCGTAAGTCATCTCATGTACCAGTCCTAAACCACTGGAAGTTTGTTGACTCTGACTGGAGTGAGATGAGCCTGAAATGTAATATTTTGGTGAGGCAAATAGCCACTAATAAAACTAGAAACTTGGAAGAGAGGTATAGGGCCTTCTATGTCTTTTTAAAATAAAGAACCAAAGTGCTTAAGAAAGTGACGTCTGTTGAACCTCATTTAGGCCATGTGAGCCTGTCTTAGGGTGAAAGGTGGAAATAAGGCCAATGAGATGAATATTTAAGTCAGTGTATCATTTGAAATTATGGGTTCTTATGGTACACTTAAAACTGCTCACACTGCTAGGACTATTCCTCACAGCTCGTCTTGCTTTTTAAAGTACGGTGCTATTGCAGTTTAGGAACAGTAACTGATTGTCAGGAATGAATTCTGCTACAATTAAATACAGCTATGTGACTGTATATATTCCATTTGAATGAAATTTCATGCCTGCCCAGTTTTGGGGCTTTTTTTTCAATTTTGTATTACTAAAGTTATCTTTTTCTGCTAAATTTCAAGACAGTTATTCTTCCATAAAATTACACTCAAAATTATGGTATTCAAGGTATGAAAGTACAGAAACATTCTTAGATATTTGATTTTCTTTGTGGTGGCGGGGGAACAGAATGAATCACAAAGTCTTGAAGAAACATTTTTCATAGGCTCCTGTCCATTTTTTTATTGGACTCATGAAATCTAAAAGCTGTAAGTTTACTCAAAACCGATTCCACGCAAATATTCTGCATCTGCTGACCTCCGTGGATGGCCACAGGCTGGAACTGTTGCTCCAGTTCATACATGTCTAACTGTTCTTTTCCTGTGAAATGTCGAGCATTTTGTCCACGGTGCCTCCGCTGATCCAGAAGTGCCCTGGTCCACTGTTTCACTGGTGACAGAGCAATACTATGTGTGAGTTTCAGATGCTGGCAGACACCACATGCCTCTTCGTCCTTGGCGTCTCACAAACAGTACTGCTTTTGCTCTTGTATAATTTACCCCTGTTCTTCTTTTTAACACCTCATTCCATAGGCTCAGCCAGATGGGAGATGTTTGGCAGCTGGAGGACCCAGATGCCAAATTCTGGAATAGAGCTTTCCTGCATTGGCATGTGGGTTCATGGCTGGCTTCTTGGCTTGCACCTCTCTTAGCTTCTTGGCTAGCTGTCTAGCTGGCAGCTGTAGCACTGCCTCTGGGGCTATGTTAGGGTCAAGCTGCTGTGGAGTTGGATGACTTTCCTGATCTGAATTACCCTGACGGACACCGTTTTCACCTTAGTTTGCTTTGACTTTCCACTATTCAAAGGCGAACTGTTTTATTCCTGCCATTTGTAAGACTAACTCGAAGCAGTAGTTCTCATTTGTCACCAGTTCAAAAAGAAAATAAGCATTGCAGAGTACACTGTTTCACTTGTTAGGATTCCCATTCAGTCAGTAGGAATGTAAGGCCCAAATCTGTACTTGCAATTTATCTCCAGGACCAAATCGTAACTACAGAGCACAGGCTTTAAAAAAATGTATTTCTTATGTCTGAACTTTGAATGCTTTCAACTGTGAGTGAATCTAGCCTCTGTCAAACAGAAAAAATATACGCATTTTGGGAGACAATCTGGATAATTTTTAAAGAAAAAGGATAAAGAAGAATGACGATGATAGTAAATAGGATGTTACTGGCAATAATTAAGAGCACTGTCGGAAGAAAATGCTTGATCTTCTCTTTGTCTGATTTGGAATGTCCTCATTACATACTTTAGTTTTACCTCAGGTTTTTTTTGTTTGGGTTTTTTTTCTTTTCATCATGAGGTAATGAAAAATTAATGCATCTAGGATAGCCAAAGCATTTGAAGTAATTCCCTAATCTATGTCTTTTCTCCATAAACATTACTTTCAGTGGGAAAAACTGCAAAATCAGGAGGTCACTAAAGACTCCAGATACTTACAGTAAAGTATGGATTAGTCATACCTGCTGTGAAATTTTCATTCCCTCATTCAGCTGTAGTGAGAGTATGTTGTGCTACACTGGAGGCAGTGGTATCTCTATTACACACAAAACTTTTTTCACGCCTGAGCAAATGGCATTTGTGTCTCACTTGGACACAAATTTCTATCTGTAAAGGTTAAGCTGCGCAGGGTGATCTGACCTCTGAGGAGAAGCACCTGAATTCCCCATTATAATCACTAGAGAGAGCTGCATGTCTCAGGAGCAACCAAAAAGGAGACCATACCCATCTAGTTTACTTGTATGCTCCTCCTTGCTGATGGCCTAGGCAACGTAAGTGCTTCCATAGGAATAGAGCCCAGTTACATTACGTAAGTTGTTATGGACTATATAGGGAACCAGTAAGAAATAAAAGCATCTGTTTCACTCAGAAGTAGTCCACATAGCCCTTTCTGGATAATAATGGAGCAGAGATGATTCTTCCGAAAAACAGGCTGGCAGCAGCAACAGCAATATTTCCACCTTTGCAGGAGAGCTTCGTTAACTAGCTTTTCAACAAATTGGGAGACCTGAGGCTTAGGTTCTTAGCACAAGCATTGCAGAGATGTTTTAATCGCTGGGATCCTTGATACAGGCCTAATAAAATGAGATACTTGGGGAGCAGTGGAGTCTCTCATCTCCCTTGTTGCTGAATATGGGCCATTGTATAGACAGGAGCACAGAAGTCATGAGATGGGAAGGAGAGTGAGTAAGAGCCGGAATTCTACCTGATCGTGGACAAGACTGTGACTGGAGGCTCCATTCCCTGGAGCAATATTAGGCCAGAAACAGCCATGGATACTGAAGTAGAGCTTTCACCATTCTGCTTTTGGAACTGAGTGTCCAGATTCCTAGTATGGAGCCAGGATCCCCCTTTTCTGCCCAGTCTTTTATCCTCATGTTCTTATGTTCCTGGTTGCAGAGTAGCTTCGCTTCCATGGACACTCACGCAGAAGACCCCGAGTCCTTATAGCCAGGTTACTCCTGGGGTGATGGAGATACTGAATCAACCTTCTGTCTGAGAAGGACCTACAACCAAAGTCTCTCCTTCCCTGAGTGAATTACCTGACTGCAAGGCTACAATGCAACATCTTGCCAGTGCCACCGCCATCAAAACTCTGCCTGCATTTTGGGGTTTCTTCACAAGACATAGGCAAAGTTCAGGACATTTTGCCCTGCCTGTGGGTGGAGAATGGGCACTTGCCAGAATGAGTATCTGTGATCATGTGCCTTCTGGTTGGTAACTGAAGAAGCTCCAGCTTAACAGTGAAGGACCTCATGAGTTTAGGGACATGCTGGGTAGGACTGTTTTTGGGACAGTGGGTGGGAATGTGGTCATGGACCAAGGAAGGCTCTTGGATGCCCGCCTCTCA